AGATCTTATAATAATCTAAACTGAACAAAATGCTCAGATATAGGTCTACTGTGTTTATGTTTAAACTTTACTTACACATTACACATTGTGTGTTTGATGATTTATGATGATGTTGTACAGTTTGTGTATTCATAATAAACATGTAGTAATCAAACAGTATGAGCCTGTGTACCATTAATGTCTATCTACACAGTGAAGGACAGAATATTAGAAACTCCACTGGTGTTTTGTTTTATTTTGAAAGTCTTGATAAACTGCTGTAATTCTGAAGTACTTTTTTTTATTAAACAGGTTAGTGTTTGATCTACAAAAGATGACAAAGCAGCATAATATTTCATTTTTCTTGATAAATGAGCTAAACCATTATTTCTATGAATCAATATTTATTATTAATCAATGAATTCACTAATAGTCTCAGCACTATTACAGATTGCATTCACAACTGCTGGATGATAGTCATCAACCACACCCCAAAAGTAGTAAATTAATAGTAATCCAATAACAATAATAAATTCTTGTTGAAAAGGTCTGAAATATAAACAATAAAGGGTTAAGTAATGTAGGCGGGACCAACCTGAGGCTAGGTGAAATAGCAGTCCTGGCTCTAAGAGGCTGTGTAGAAATGAGCTGTGATCTGATTGGACTAAACCCCCCAGCAAGCCTGTCTGAGCTGGAGATAGCTTGAAAAGTGGATGAGATCTGTCGACAGCAGCAGGAAGCTGCAGTAAACTCAGACCATTAAAAAAATATACAGGAAGTCACAGAGCTGTACACCCTGTTAAATCAAACTGTAGGCTACCTGTAGTTTTTAGACCACATTCAGATATATAAATAAACTATATTCTTATCATATTGCACACCATAAGACAAACAACACACAAGACACAAGGTAGTGTTAAATATCATGATCACATGGAAAATTTGAATTCTCTACAAAACGTTAGTGTTTGTAGTGAAAACTAAGAGCCAAGCTTTTCAACTGCAGTGCCTGGCTCTAAAAACAGTGACTGCCTCGATCTCATGAGATGTCATACTAGATCCTCTGTTACTCACTGCAGGGCATTTTCATTGGCCAGTTTATGAAGGGTACAAACCGGATGAACTGGATTTACTTCTTTATGGCTTTGATAATGAGACACAGAATGTGCAGTAAGATTGCCTTGTAGCTGAATCAACACTTATTGTAAGTCACATTCTCAGTTCCAGTCTCATCTGTTTCAAGCTCAGGAAGAGTTCTGTGTAAGTAGCTTCTGATATTTACTGTATAATAAACAGCCCACTCTGGACATGAAAGAGAGAGCTGAGGTCACTTTTCTCTCCTGCGTTTACCATGACTGTTTGGTTCAATGTAACAGCTTTTGTCCATTATGGTATAATACCTTAGGAATTGAATGCCTCATTGTAAGCACAGAAAAATATTTTCTGCAAAAACATGAATTATATTTTGCAAAGAAACTATTTTCACACAAATAGTAATAATAATAATTTAATTGGAGCAACTAGAATAAATCCACATATTGGCTAGAATTACAGCACACTGCAGGCTAATGATGTTTCATGTAGAGGGAAAAAGAAGGGATGTTGAGAAAGAGAGACAGACACAAAGGAGGCAATGTGAGAGAGGGAAAATGAACGTATCTGACTGAAAGAGATTATTACATTTACAGAGAATACATTTTTGTTCTTTGTGGGATTGTAACAAATCTAATTTATTATCATAGACACCTGATTCTATAATAATCAAGGTATATACATTCTCATAGAATAATGTGATCTCAAGTATTTATTTTCCATGTTGGGTTGTAATGTGTTCTGGCAATGAGCATTGTACGGCCACCATCTTTTATAATATTATTTAATATTATAATATTAATATTAATATTATTATAATTATTATAATATTCTATAATGTTATATATAATAATAATAATATATGGCAATACTATTAATTATATTATAATAATTATAATATTATTATAATATTAAATAATATTATAATTGTAGGCCACCGTAGGCATTGTTATGTATGTATATTATATTAGGTCTCGTTGACCATCTTTTACTTCTTTGTTTTCCTCCAGTCTTTAAGGATCACCATGGATAATCCACTGGATTGTGAATTCACTGAAGAAATTAAAGAAGCTCTACGAAACAATAATCAAGCTTTAGCTCTTGGAAAGATCTAGGAGCGTTCGGAGAAGGCAAATAACACCACACTGAATATTGCCATCACAGGAGAGTGTAGCTCTTGTAAATCCACCTTTGTCAATGCCTTTAGAGGCATAGACAGTTTGATGTAATTTAATTTTTGTCCACTAAGAGCACAACAGTTTACAAATAATAAAACAATAATGTCTCCTTGGTGGCTGTGGTGCAGAGGCAAAGCGGGTCGTTCACTAATCGGAAGGTTGTTGATTCGATCCCCGGCTCCTGGTGCCACATGTCAAAGTATCCTTGAGCAAGATACTGAACCCCAAATTGCAAAGTAGTTCCAGTGAAACAGTCTGTTTACTGTTCTAAATGAATGGGCTGAAATGAATTGAATGTAAACAAAATGTGTATATCTCTAAATATATATGACAACACTGAGTGTAGTCCTTCAGTGCCTCATCCTCTGAGCACCACAGGATGGAGACTGTAACACATAAACCCTACCCTCTGAACTGCTCCCTCATCCAGTCTGCTATTCAGCTCGCTACTTCAGGCTGCAGCCCGTCAGTACACGTGAAGATTCGGGGACAATGACATGGCTGACAGCTAGCTGGTCTAAAATTATATTCATAATTGTAGGTTTGTCCTATTTACTAGAGTAGTAAATGTTTCCATTGCATTGGAACCATATGGGATGGTAATGATTCTTCCAGGTATTAGGAATGACCTCAGGTATTACCAGGGAAACTGAGTTAGGGCTTGTAAAAAACTTTAGGTTTTGATAGAAAAACATCTTTGGCAAGTGACCATGGTATAAGTGGGATAATTGCCTTTTCCATAATCAGGAATAGATGGACTTTACGGAGGCTGTGTGTTGGACGGTTCTGGCTTCCAAGTCGTCTATTAATTCCTGATGATGGACACCTCGTGGGGCATTATCCCTTACATGTAGAACTCGCTGAAAGTTTTATGTAAATCAGATGATGATTGCCATACAAGGCTTATTTCCTGTTTCCAGTAGGTCGAACTGAATATTGTTATATTATTTTGTACTAAAAATACAAAGCCTTAAAACTTTGATCACATTATATTGTGGAGCTTGTGAGTTTTCATTGAAAAGTGTGTATGGTGTGGCATCAAAATATAAATATAAACACAGAAGGAGGAAATGGAGGAGGATTCATTCAGCTTTTCAGTTTTAATTTGTTTTCTTTTGATCAGTGTCCCTATCAAATAAACTAGTAATAAAAAACTATGTACGTAACATGTAAATAATCTTAATTGGTTTACCAATCTGTTTTGAGGGATTTCCATGATTTCCATGATTTTCCATGGAAATCCCTTTTTTGAGGGATTTCCATGTATAGTTGATTAAAAAACTGTTGACATCACAAACAAAAGTACAGATATGAGATATGCACATGATGTTATATTTAAGTTTATTTTATATATCTGATCATCATATAATTGTCTCTCATTGTAACACAGGTCTTGGAGATCAAGGAGTGAACTCTCCTCAAGTCTTCCTGGTGTCCAGCTTTGAGCTCCACCTGTATGATTTCCATCTGCTACATGAGACCCTAGAGAGAGAACTTCCTGCACACAAGAGTAATGCTCTGCTGTTGGCCATGTCCAACATCAACCTGGAGATCATCAACAGGAAGAAAAAGGCTTTCCAGGCCAAAATAAAATACTTTGCTACTCAATACTTTCTTAAAGAGCCACCTGTTGGTCACATGATAGGAAAAATGAATGAATATGGAATATGGATAGGGACACTGCTTATTGATCAACAGAAAAAGTTCCAACAGTTAAAATAGCTGAATGAAAGCACAGACTAATGACTGCTGTCAGAACAGTGGTGATAACACTGATATCCTTTGTGCTGCTTAGACAGACAATGAGGCACAGCTGTGTTTTCTATTTACCCGATACATTCAAAATGAAATAGAACCACTCAGAGTGGCTGATACTGACATACATGTTATTGGATTATTATTTCTAGATTCTTGGTTGGCACTGTGTACTTTTGACGCCTCACTTTAATATATAAAATCTCAATTTCCAGAAACTCACCAGTAACATTTAACTTAACAAGGCTTTTGAAGGTCACTGTTTTTTGGAGGATTGTTTTGCCTTAGTGACTCTTTCATATTGCCTTCTGAGTATCTTGTTTTTGTATTTGTTTTGCATGTAGGCCTATATGGTATTGATATTTATATATGTCTTTGAACATTTTCAAAAAAATATATCAGCGTTTAATACATCAATATTTCAATTAAATTCAATTTCAATTCAATTGTATTTGTATAGCGGCAATTCATAACAGATTGGATTTAGTCTAACTGTTCTGTAGAGGAAATTATTAATGTTGTTATTAATTAAAGAACCATTCAAGAACGTCAGGTCAAGTCTTCTGTTTAGATTAAATATCACACACAATGTTTCAAAAAGGGGACAAACAGGCTCACAATATTAAGTTTCTGAACCAACACAAGTACTTATAATAACTGAAAAACAGCATGAAAGAAGAAATATGGTCTAAACTGTAAGAGAGGTAACATTTGCAATAGCAACCATGGGTGAGCAATTCATATGAGGTTATGTTATTTAATAGGATGGAATGATTTACACTAAAAATGAATCTCAAAAAGCTGTAAGGCAGAGGACACTGCTAAAGTGTCTTTCACTTAGTGACTTTAACCCTCCAGGCTTCTTGTAAATCAGCACGTTTCTTGTAAGTCACCTGCTTTACTAATAACCAATGGGTGTCTGTCACTCCCAGGACATTTTCATTGTTCAGTCTCTAAAGGGCTGGGCTCTGATGAGCTCTTCTATTGTTTTTACAGAAGTAAAGAAACTGAACAACTCACAGTAACTCATAGGGTGATCTGCTCTTCTCTCATCTGTTTCTACATTCAGACTTCAGGGTGAGTAGCCTCTAACATTCAACAAAGTCTACTTTTTATTTCAATGAAACATAAGAGGAAGCTGCTTCTCTCTGTCTAAAACAGGCTCATTAAGATATAGAGGATCCACTAAACTTATAATATTACTGTCTATGAGAATAGATGTTTCCTTCCTCTGTGGAAGAGCTCTGATTTTATAGTGCTGATGAAATAATGTAAACACTTTAGTATGCAAGCTGATTGGGTTAATTTAAGGTTATACTGCATCACAGTGTGATATTTTAAAGGAAGGCATTCACAACTGCTGCGAAGTAGTCATCAATACAACCCAACAGTATTAAATTAATAGTGGGAGATCTATCATATTTTTCATCCAATAACAATGATACATTTTCATTGAAAAGATCTTAAATACCACCAGTAAAGTGTTAAGTGATGTAGGTGGGACCAACCTGAGGATAGGTGAAATAGCAGTCCTCGCTCTAAGAGGCTGTGTACAAATGAGCTGTGATCTGATTGGACTAACCCCCCAGCAAGCTGCCTGTCTGAGCTGGAGATACTGTTTGACTGCAGTAACAACACAACTGCTTTCTTAGAGGGACAGCGGGACTCTTTCCTTCTCTAAATAGGCAACCTTAAATTCTGTTTATTTAAAAGCATCATGAAGAAAAAACAAATCTATGTTCAACAACCAAAGTTATGTCCACCTTCAGTTGTTGGAAGGCCATCTCAAAAGCTCTGAATAGTCTACTGTGATGCACTATGATAACAGCGCCCCCAGCTGTATGTCTGTTGTAGATGCATTACTGCCCTGTTACTTCACTGTGCTAAAACTACAGACAAACAAATCTACAAGGATGCACAGTGTGGATGAGGGTTTGGTCAGATTTCTATTGCTATTGGTTCTTATGATCAGTGGTGTGCATGAGGAGTCTGTGTAACTGACTGTTCTGGTCTGTTATGACCTCAGATATAGACTGTGCAGAATAAATGTACTGCTTTTGATCTTCACCCAGCCCCCTTATAACATAGTCTGTGCATGTTACTGCTGCTGATAATGATAGGAGTTGGATGTGTCTCTGTATTACCACATAGTGCATTTGCATTCTGTCATATTTTGTGTGTAAGGTGATAGATCATTGGAGGATTACATTTTCTACTATTCTCCAAAAGACAATAATGACTTTTTGACTTATCGTTTCCTCCAGTTTTCAAGAATCACCATGGATAATCAACTGTATTCTGAATTTATTGAAGCAATTAAAGAAGCTCTACAAAACAATAATCAAGCTTTAGCTGTTGCAAAGATCCAGGAGTATTTTGATCTGCAGAATAATATCCCACTGAATATTGCCATCACAGGAGAGACAGGCTCTGGTAAATCTACTTTTGTCAATGCCTTTAGAGGCATAGACAGTGAAGATGAGGAAGCTGCCCCTACTGATTGTGTAGAAACCATCTCAGAGGTTACACCATACCCCCATCCAAAGTACCCCAATGTTACTCTGTGGGATCTTCCTGGTATTGGTTCCACCAAGTTTCCAGCTGACAAGTACCTGGAGCTTGTTGAATTTGAGAAGTTCGACTTCTTCATCATCATCTCAGATACTCGCTTCAGAGAGAATGATTGGAAACTTGCTCAGGAAATTCAGAAGATTGGAAAAAAATTCTACTATGTTCGCTCAAAGATTGACAACGATTTACGTCATCAGAGAAAAAAGAAGGATTTCAATGAAGAAAGGACTCTTGCACGAATCAAGAAAAACTGCATTCAAGGTAAGTCACTTACATTAATTGTGAGATTAAATACTGGAATTTCATCATTTAAAATAAATCAGAAAAACAAGATAGTAAACACATTTTTATTTGAAGCTGAGTTTATAAACCTGGTCCACTCACTCACTTTATCTCAGCACAGTAACTTACCCACACACACTAAAGGTCAAATTCTGCAGCTGATGAGTAGTATGTGTCTGAAGTTGTCAAAAACATAAGGACTACCATGTGCTTTTTTGACCCCCATGCCCACTCCTCTGATAAAACCATGTCTGGCTGTGATATGCCCCCTGCTGACACTATTCATGAATGTCTGCCTCTAATCCTTCCAGTTTAAAATTAACTGCTATTGCCCCAGAGTGCGAAAAAACCCTGAAAGAATACAGATCAACCATCAGTTGACAACAAGGACAACTCTGTGACCATCAGATGGCTCCTTATCTCCTGATTGATATTTTAGAAATTTTACATTTGCTCATAATTAGGGAACATTTTAATTGAAGCAGTTTGGTGTGAGAAGCATTCTCTTGCCACGCATTTTAAGATATTTCATGACAGCAATTTAAAACTATTGAAAATGTTATTTATTTGTGTGTTATTTATTTGTTGTAAATGATTGATTAGAAAACTGTATAGATTACACCACTGATGGGAAATGAACAAAGAAGAGAAGTACTGATACGAGATTTAACATTTTAAAAGTTGTCTTATTTCATATATCTTATTGACTTATACTGTTTGTAACACAGGTCTTCGAGATCAAGGAGTGAACTCTCCTCAAGTCTTCCTGGTGTCCAGCTTTGAGCTCCACCTGTATGATTTCCATCTGCTACATGAGACCCTAGAGAGAGAACTTCCTGCACACAAGAGGAATGCTCTGTTGTTGGCCATGCCCAACATCAACCTGGAGATCATCAACAAGAAGAAAGAGGCTTTCCAGGCCAAAATAAAATACTTGGCTACTTTATCTGCAGCTGCAGCAGCTGTACCAGTTCCTGGGCTTTCTGTTGGTGTTGATGTAGCTTTGCTGGTTGGAGTTGTCACAAAATACATAGTGGGGTTTGGTCTTGATAGCTCATCACTGAAGAGACTGTCTCGTAGCTCAGGTGTGCCATTGAAGGATCTGATGGTTGTCATTGTTTCACCACTGGCTGCAACAGAAATAACGTCTGATCTTATCCTGAAGCTGCTTGCTCAATGTGTAAATACAGCTACATTAATGGCAGCAGAGGAAGGGTCCAGATACATTCCAATATTAGGAATCCCAGCAGCAATGGGCCTCTCTTTTGTCACAACCTACGAAGCTCTCAACATGTTTCTCAACATGCTTGCTGAGGATGCAGAGAGGGTGTTAAAAAGGGTCCTGGGTTTGAACACCTCAGTGTGAAATTGTAAAGTGAATGGCAATGGCATTTAATGCACATTTAAAACTGCAGTGTACAAAAGAGCAAAATCATACTTTTGTATTCTAGCTGCTCATTTTAGCAAACATGCATCATACGTGTTGCAGCTGATCACTCCATACAATAGCCTCTATACATGCAGCTGTCATTTACTCTAACAAATACAAACTTTTTATAGCTTAAAATCCTCTTAGACCAGGGGGTCCCAACTGTTTTCCTTAAGGGACCCATTTTCTATCATTGAGTAAACTGACATCTATTATGGATATTTTATATTATATTCAATGTATAACAATAACAGTAGAGAACAACTGATAAACTGTACAATAAACCTAAACTTGTGAACACAAGAACTGCAGGACATTTATTTAAGTAAGAAATTTAGATTGGCAGATTATTTCTGTGAATATTACATCAGACATTTCCTGCAATTTCATTTTTACTTTTCATGTAAGTGTCTGTCTGTATTGTGATTTTCTTATTTTTTAACAACCATACAAACGTAATGGGCTTCTTTTTTTGACATATTTTTCTTATTTTTCTATCAGCTATTTGTTGTTTTAACTGCATACTTTATGCTTAATGCAGGATGAGGCTGTTTAGCAGAAAGTGAAGGCTCTGTGTATATAGATTGTGTTCAGGTCTTCAAAGTTTAGATCTTATAATAATCTAAACTGAACAAAATGCTCAGATATAGGTCTACTGTGTTTATGTTTAAACTTTACTTACACATTACACATTGTATGTTTTATGATTCATGATGATGTTGTACAGTTTGTGTATTCATAATAAACATGTAGTAATCAAACAGTATGAGCCTGTGTACCATTAATGTCTATCTACACAGTGAAGGACAGAATATTAGAAACTCCACTGGTGTTTTGTTTTATTTTGAAAGTCTTGATGAACTGCTGTAATTCTGAAGTACTTTTTTTTATTAAACAGGTTAGTGTTTGATCTACAAAAGATCTGAAACTAGTGACAAAGCAGCATAATATTTCATTTTTCTTGATAAATGAGCTAAACCATTATTTCTATGGATCAATATTTATTATTTATCAATGAATTCACTAATAGTCTCAGCACTATTACAGATTGTAGACCACAGAATCCAGCTTTGGAGCATGAATATACATTTTCTCCTCCAACAGTGTCAGCATGTACACATCATTCTCTCCTCCTTCATCAATCAATTAATATAACATTTTGTTGTAATGCTGTGTGTACATACAAAATATAGCAAACTAAATAAGGCAAATTAATAGAGGTACAATTTACAGGAAAATGAACCATTTCTCATTTGATCTTTTTTATCTTCTCTCAAACATCAAGAATGGTGTACAAAATGCTTTTCCCCCCATTACAGTGTGATGTTTTAAAGGAAGGCATTCACAACTGCTGGATCATAGTCATCAACCACACCCCAAAAGTAGTAAATTAATAGTAATCCAATAACAATAATAAATTCTTGTTGAAAAGGTCTGAAATATAAACAATAAAGGGTTAAGTAATGTAGGCGGGACCAACCTGAGGCTAGGTGAAATAGCAGTCCTGGCTCTAAGAGGCTGTGTAGAAATGAGCTGTGATCTGATTGGACTAAACCCCCCAGCAAGCCTGTCTGAGCTGGAGATAGCTTGAAAAGTGGATGAGATCTGTCGACAGCAGCAGGAAGCTGCAGTAAACTCAGACCATTAAAAAAATATACAGGAAGTCACAGAGCTGTACACCCTGTTAAATCAAACTGTAGGCTACCTGTAGTTTTTAGACCACATTCAGATATATAAATAAACTATATTCTTATCATATTGCACACCATAAGACAAACAACACACAAGACACAAGGTAGTGTTAAATATCATGATCACATGGAAAATTTGAATTCTCTACAAAACGTTAGTGTTTGTAGTGAAAACTAAGAGCCAAGCTTTTCAACTGCAGTGCCTGGCTCTAAAAACAGTGACTGCCTCGATCTCATGAGATGTCATACTAGATCCTCTGTTACTCACTGCAGGGCATTTTCATTGGCCAGTTTATGAAGGGTACAAACCGGATGAACTGGATTTACTTCTTTATGGCTTTGATAATGAGACACAGAATGTGCAGTAAGATTGCCTTGTAGCTGAATCAACACTTATTGTAAGTCACATTCTCAGTTCCAGTCTCATTTGTTTCAAGCTCAGGAAGAGTTCTGTGTAAGTAGCTTCTGATATTTACTGTATAATAAACAGCCCACTCTGGACATGAAACAGAGAGCTGAGGTCACTTTTCTCTCCTGCGTTTACCATGACTGTTTGTAACAGCTTTTGTCTGTACCTTAGGAATTGGATGGCACATTGTACGCACAGAAAAATATTTTTTGCAAACCCATGAATGAATGAATTGCATTTTGTAGAGAAACTATTTTCACACAAATAGTAATAATAATAATTTAATTTGAGCAACTAAAATTAATCCACAGATTGGCTAGAATTACAGCACACTGAAGGCTGATGATGTTTCAGGTAGAGCCAGTGTGCAGTGAAAAAGAAGGGATGTTGAGAAAGAGAGACAGTGAGTGAGTGTACAAAGGAGGCAATGTGAGAGAGGGCTAATGAACAAATCTGACTGAAAGAGATTATTACATTTACAGAGAATACATTTTTGATGGCTAAAATAAAACATTTCTTTGTGGGATTGTAACAAATCTAATTTATTTACATACATTTTACAGTACATACATTCTCATAGAATAATGTGATCTCAAGTATTTATTTTCCATGCTGGGTTGTAATGTGTTCTGGCAATGAGCATTGTTATGTATGTGTATTATATTAGATCTAGTTGTCACTGGATGTCATTGAATGTGTCACTATATTACCACATCACTGCCATATTGTTTTGTTCAAGGTGTTAGATCATTGTATGATTGCATTTTCTACTATTCCCCAAAAGACGATAGTGACTTTTTTAACTTCTCATTTCCTCCAGCCTTCAAGGATCACCATGGATAATCCACTGGATTCTGAATTCACTGAAGAAATTAAAAAAGCTCTACAAAACAACAATCAAGCGTTAGCTGTTGCAAAGATCCAGGAGTATTTGGACAAGAAGAAGAATTATCCACTAAATATTGCCGTCACAGGAAAGGGTAGCTCTGGTAAATCCACCTTTGTCAATGCCTTTAGAGGCATAGACAACAGTGATGAGGAAGCTGCCCCTACTGATGAAACCACCTCAGAGGTTACACCATACCCCCATCCAAAGTACCCCAATGTTACTCTGTGGGATCTTCCTGGTGTTGGTACCACCGAGTTTCCAGCGAACAAATACCTGGAGCTTGTTGAATTTGAGAAGTTTGACTTCTTCATCATCATCTCAGACACTTGCTTCAGAGAGAATGATGTGAAACTCGCTCAGGAGATTCAGAAGATGGGGAAAAAATTCTACTTTGTTCGCTCAAAGATTGACAACGATTTACGAGCTGAGAAAAGAAGTAAGAGGGAGTTTGATGAGAAAAAGACGATCACACAAATCAAGGAAAACTGCATTCAAGGTAAGGGTCTTATGGAATCATTTATAATAATTGTAATAACTGGATTTTCATCATTAAACTAAACTTGCAAGCCTCCTTCTCACAGTTCAATCCAAAAGACTTTGCAACAATAAGATAACGTGGACGTCTGAATTTCACAACAAAAGCAGCAAATTTATTCCATGGTTTCAATGTAAACTTGTCCATGTGAGATAGTATAAAGAGTCCACATTTGCATGTGGTGGGGGGGGGGTGGATGGCTTAAACTCTGGACTTACTTACATAAGTTACATAAGTTATGTGACTTGTCACACCCAACAAAGTAGTTTTGTTCCCTAAAAGTCAGTCAAGTTGTTCAGTTGCCTAAACCAAACTGTGACACAGAGTTCACAATGCTTACTGTGTTCAAAAGGCTTTCTGCAGCTCGTACATATACTAAAGGGTACCCTGTGCATATGTATGAAATGCTGAGGGGACGTGACAAAGACAAACCTGAGATGAGAACAGATTGGGTATTCATGTGATTTAAATATTTAAATTATTTCACCAGTTTCTAAAAGTAATCTTCGTACCATTTATTCCTTTTGTGTCACAGGTCTTCAGCAACAGGGTGTGGAGTCTCCTCAAGTCTTCCTGGTGTCCAGCTTTGAGCTCAAACTGCATGACTTTCCCCTGTTACACAGGACCCTAGAGGGAGAACTTCCTGCACACCAGAGGAATGCTCTGCTGTTGGCCATGCCCAACATCAACCTGGAGATCATCAACAGGAAGAAAGAAGCTTTCCAGGCCAAAATAAAATACTTTGCTACTCTATCTGCAGCTGTAGCAGCTGTACCAGTCCCTGGGCTTTCTGTTGCTGTTGATGTAGCTTTGATGGTTGGAGTTGTCTCAAAATACGTAGTCGGGTTTGGTCTTGATAGCTCGTCACTGAAGAGTCTAGCTGGTAGCACAGGTGTGCCATTGAAGGATCTGACAACTGCCATCCGTTCACAACTGGCTGTAACAAAAATAACCCCATTTCTTATCATGAAGCTGCTTACTCAATGTGTAAGCACAGCTGCATCAATGGCAGCAGAGGAAGGGTCCGGATTCATTCCAGTATTTGGAATCTTAGCAGCAGTGACCCTCTCTTTGATCACAACCAACAGAACTCTGAATAGTTTCCTCAACATGTTTGCTGAGGATGCACACACAGTGTTTAAAAGGGCCCTGGGTCTGAAGACCTCAGTGTGATATTGTGATAGTTCAATGGAGCGAAGCCTGTGAGCTAGTTCAGGCAGTCAACTCGAGCTGCGCTGTTATACACACGACATGCCTCACTCCATAATCACTAACCAAGCGCACCCTTCCAATCTGGCGGTCTATTTAAACTACACAGTTTCCCAGCTCTCCCTCTGCTCTTTCAATGCCGCTGTTGCCCTGCATCCGTATTGCTTCTGCTGCTCTGTAAGCCCCACCACCACCCCAGAATCCACCTGTAGGCTCCAGCTTGGGGTTTAAGGTATTTGCTCATCACTCCCCAATATCTCTATGTAAACATATCTGCGGGGAATGATGAGGTCGGAGCCTAGACGCCAAAACCTAAATATGCTATACTGCTGTAATAAACATTACTTTCTAAATCAAATTTCAAACGTGAGTTGTCTGACTGAACTGGTTTTAGTTGTTGTACATTACAATACACTGAAACTGTTGTCATTCAATAAAACAGGTTTTGCTCATTACAGAGATAAGTCAAATGTGTGTACATGAAATACATATTCTGTAATTAGTGATAAACTGCATCTTTTACTGCATGTAGTTGCTTGTTCACAGTGTACTGTGTATGTGATCATTTTACAGGAGTACAGTCTAGACCTGCTATATATAAAAAACACCTGTGACCCAAACCCTCCCCTCAGTAAATGATTGTGAAGAAGACAATAATCAATCAGCTGGAAGGGACAAAAGTTTATTGTAACCCTACAAAAGACACAAAACTAAAATAAAATTATATATCATTCTTATACAAGCCTCAAACTATCATCGTACACGGACCACAGATTAATTATTCATTCAATGGTGAATTTCTGTAAGATTTTTTCATAAAATGGCCTCTGACCTTAATGGAATGTGTGGAGGGATTAACAGTTTCAAAGTGATGGAATTTCATTTTTGCCCACTAAGGGCACAGAAATGTACAAATAATAAGACAATAATGTCTCCTTTAACAAGTAATCAAGGAATAAAGGAATTGTGTTCATTATACACCAGAATGCTGTATAACAAAAATAACGTTTGTAGTTCCCCCTCCTAACATACTGTAAAATTATATTCACTGTTTGTACACAATGTTATTGACTTTGAATGTTAGCACTCTGGCTCGTAGCTGAGCCAAAGCGTTCTATGAGCGGAGGGACCTAGAAACACGGACGTAATTTTGTGGAGAGGGACACAGAGGACATGTCCCCTACACTTTCTCAAAAGGCCGTTTTGGTCATGCCACGATGCCATCAAGCGGGATCTCTGGTCGTAATCAGTCCTTCACTGACCAATCAGCGTTCATTAGCAGAATGCTAGCGTGTTATGGGCAACAACAACTCGTCCTGTAAAAAATCGAGAGGACATAAGTACTCGTTCATTCAACTTTCGACCTATAACCCATGTTGAACTTGCAAAAACTACAATCAAATCTGAGATTTCTCAATGACAATCAGGTGAAAGAGACAAATTTAGCCGTCTAGCTCAATCTGCTCCCATTCATTCTGCACTCATGGGCGGTCGCCCCCAGTGGAACTCTGGTGGAACTGCAACCAGTATTTGGTACAGTGGGACTTAATTACACTTACACTCATTTCAAATTAAATTGATTACTTGACTACTTACACTGAATTATGGACATTTTATTCAATTTCTCCCCACCTGTGATATTCCTGCCAGTTTGACCTGCCCACCACTGGGTGGTTCTATGTAAATGAGGTCTGTTTACCATATATTCCAAAAATAAGTGTAAAATTGGTGGTACTGAGTTGGAGTGAAGTTGACTAACAAGGTGAAACAGAATTGGGTGATAATGTTTTGCTACATGCTTTACAACCAAAGTCAAACCAAAAAAGGGAACAGTAAACTTAAAAGTAGCAATAGAAAACTAGAAGAACTACTAGAAAACACAGTGAACTGAAAGAGTTTTATTAGAAATACTTGTCCCCCCCACCTCTGAAATCAAAATTTCGTCCTTGCCTAGAAATATCTCCCGTTGCCAAGTCGTACCTATGGTTTTTCCTATTTATGGTAAATGGTAAATGGACCTGTACTTGTATAGCGCCTTTCTAGTCTTCCGACCACTCAAAGCCGTTTACACTACGTGGCACATTCACCCTTTCACACACATTTACTCAGCGATGTTAAAGCCCATCAAACAGAAACTAACTCATTCATACACATTCACACACCGATGCTGTGCATCGGGAGCAATTCGGGGTTCAGTATCTTGCTCAAGGATACTTCGACACGTGGCAGAAGGAGCCGGGGATCAAACCAACAACCTTCCGATTAGGGGACGACCCGCTCTTCCTCTGCCACAGTACACCCTACTGGACTGGTGAATGTTTCCATTGCATTAGAACGATATGGGATGGTAATGATTCTCCCAGGTATTAGGAATGACCTCAGGTATTACCAGGGAAACTGAGTTATGGCTTATAAAACACTTTAGGTTTTGATAGAAAAACAGATGAAAATGTAAATATAAAAATATCTTTGGCAAGTGACCATGGTAGAAGCGGGATAATGCTCTTCACTAATGCCCTTGCCTTTTCAATAATGTGGAATTGAATAGATGGACTTTACGGAGGCTATGGCTGCGTTTCGTTCACTTACCCTCAGCCCTTGGTATGACGTAACAGCATACGTTGCACGGCGGCCACTTGGAGCGCGGAGGAAAAGAGGGGCGGGGGAGGAGCGGGGGAGTTAAATGAAATGCATTGTGGGTGATATCCACCTCGGAGTGACCATCGTTGTTCACTCACTCCCTCAGCCCTCAGAGGGTCCATCTCACCAAGTTCACTTTTCCAGACAATTGGAACGACACTTATGATGGCGGCGGGGATTCCCCCGAGGGAAAGTGCCGAGGGCATGTTGAACGACTAATGAAACGCAGCCCACACAATGGAAGTCACACCATACCCCCATCCACACTACCCCAATGTTACTGTGTGGGATCTTCCTGGTATTGGTACCACCAAGTTTCCAGCTGACAAGTACCTGAAGCATGTTAAATTTGAGAAGTTCGACTTCTTCATCATCATCTCAGCTGATCGCTTCAAAGAGAATGATGTGAAACTCGCTCAGGAGATTCAGAAGATGGGAAAAAAGTTCTACTTTGTTCGCTCAAAGATTGACCATAACATACAAGATGAGAAAAGAAGTCAGAGGGATTTCAATGCAGAAAGGACTCTTAAACAAACAAGGGAAAACTGCATTCAAGGTAATCATTTCTAATCTAATAAATATGAATATTATATTCAGTGGATTTCCTTGATTTGCAACTAATGAATGCTGCTATATTGTTTAAAGCTAATCAAAAGTGCTTGTTGTCTCCACTGCCAGTCTCCAATTGTTATTCAACGTGTCTGACATCATTATATATTATACCTTCTGTTTAACCAGAAACAGCCATAATATTGCTATCGTTTGCTACCAGACTCCATAGACAAAAGTAATCATTTTACCTCGCATTACAATTTCATTCAAAGTGGACAGAAAAAAAAAAACCAACTCTTTGTTAGTCTTTCCACTTTTCAACAATCACCAACACTGGTTTGGTTGAAATAAATACATTTTGGAAAAATAGCTGTAAATGAAGGGACTCCTAGACTAACATGTATGGTCAGCAAGACTGGACTTGTAAATAAATCACAGAGAGGCTGTGATAGGCTCTCTAGGCTGTGTTCTTCAGAGTTACTGTTTTTTTATTTATTTATTTATTTATTTATTTTATTTAAGTATATCTTTATTGTTAATTATGTGTCACATCTTGTTCACACATACAAAAATTTTTTTAACTTCAACCCCACCCCCCTCCCCTCCCACAGAGCAAACCCATTATCTGTCATACCTGGAAGAAAATCTGTATTTCTTTGTATTGGAGTAATTGGAGATAAAACACCAGTTCTTTTTTCCCATTTCCTAATCATGTCCCAAGCCTTTAGTGTGGATTTAACCATGAAATTACCATCTGCAACCTCTAATTTATTCCGATTCAGAATAAATGAGAGACTAGCAAATTGTAACTGTTTACCTAAATTGTATGCTTCAATATCGAGCCAGACAGGGTCCGGATCGTTCCGTACCCAATCTACTAGATATCTAAATTGAGAAGCCACTTGATACAGCCTAATGTTGGGAATTGCCAATCCTCCCTGTCCAGATGGCAATTGCAATTTTGCTAATTTAAGTCGTGGTCTTTTGCAGTTCCATATAAATGATCTAAACCAACCATTAACCGTCATGATAGTATTATTATTTAGCAGGACTGGGATCATTTGAAATTTGTAGAGCAGACGTGGTAAAATATTCATCTTAATCAAAGAGATTCTTCCCAGCATCGAGAGTGGTAAAGAAGACCACCTCTCTAGGTCATCGTGGATGCGTTTAAGCAGAGGCTGAAAATTAGCTTTAAACATCTTTTGCAGCAGAGGAGTAATAAATATACCTAAATAAACAAAACCTCCTGTTGCCCATCGGAAGGGTGACAAGCCAGGGGGAAGGGAGTGGTGCACCTGACCCAATGGCATGGCCTCTGACTTACTGAAATTTATTTTGTAACCAGAAAAATTACTAAACTCATTAATAACAGTAAGGACTGACGTAATAGATATTGCCGGTTGAGTGATAAACAATAAAACATCATCAGCATACAAGGAGATCTTATGTTGTCTGTGATTAATCGATATACCATGAACAGTAGAGTGAGTTCTAATGGCTTCTGCCAGTGGCTCGATTGCGATCACAAATAACAAAGGTGATAAGGGGCACCCTTGACGCGTGCCCCTCCCCAGAGCAAAGTAGGGAGAACATTTACCATTTGTGATAACAGCCCCTAGTGGATTATGATAAAGCAACTTGACCCATTCAATAAAATCATTACCCAAATCAAATTCCTTGATTGTGAAAAACAAAAAATCCCATTCTATACGGTCGAACACTTTTTCTGCATCCAGTGACACTATCATACCTTTAAGATTGTTTTGCTGACACAGCTGAATAATGTTGAGTAACCTTCTGACATTATTACATGAGTTCCTTCCAGTGATAAACCCTGTCTGGTCATTATTAATGATAACTGGGAGGACTTTCTCTAGCCTTAAGGCTAGTATTTAGATAAAATCTTGAAATCCAAATTTAATAGACTGATAGGTCAGTAGGATGAGCATACATCCGCTGGTTTATCCTTCTTAAGAATCAGGCTAATGTTCGCTTCTGTAAGTGTTCTGGGGAGAGCTCTCTTCTCAAAGGAGTGATTCAACATGGCAAGT